TGAGGCTTGGGAAGCTTCAGAAGAGTCCCAGAAGCTGGCGATTTCCCCCCTCTCTGACCTCTGGGGGGGCAGGGGGAGCCCCCAAAGGGTCCTAGGGGGGGTTCCATAAGATGGACCTCTCCAGAAGGCTCACCAATTTTTAGGAGAAGAAAACAACTTTTTTTTCCTGTTTTCTTATAAAAATTTGGTGCGTCTTGTGGAGAGGTGTGTCTTACGGAGCGAAAAATATGGTAGGTTCTGGGACAGTGGCAAATTAAAAACTATATTCAGTTAACCAAAATCAGTATGCCTGAAGAGATTTGGTGGAGGGAGTGCTCTTATCAAAGCAGCAGGAGAAGACCAGCACTGCTGCTTGTGAACAAATCTTTAGTAAAAATTCCAGTAACTTATTTTTGGAAAGGTGGACGTGGGAGCATAAGGAGAAGTATGCAACGGGCATTTATTATTGTCTCTGATACTATAAAAGAAACATATAGCCACCCTAACAATCAGGCATTGATGGCCTTATTCATCATGCATTTTTCCAATCTTCTTTTATGGTCTGCCAACTTGGTGGCTATCACTGCATGATGTGGTAGCAAATTTCGTAGCTTTAATAACTATGCATTTGGTGATGGGACACCTTAACGTCATGTCTTATTTTGGCCATGAGATGCAGTAAACACTGTAGCAGGCCTGTATCTAGTCAAACATTTCTTGGTGAATGAGTATGCAATTACTTTTGAAATAAAGAGCCACTTCCCAAGTACGCAGATAATAAATACTAATTGAAATACATCTAGTCAAAACATGTACACTAAGATATACCTTAATCTGCATATTCATAAATTCCTTATACTGTATTGTTTTTCTTAGTTTGCAGCAAGTCCTTCCAGCTTCAGCAGCAATGATTATCAAGATGAAGAAGGAAGAAGAGGAAGCAATCTGTATTACAGTTTTCCTTGGGGAACAGAATTAATAGAAACTCTGAGGCACCTGGGAGATAAGGAACTGTTGCAAATGTACCCAGGAAGAGAATCAGTACTACACGTGAGTTTTGCTAGAATGGCTTGACTAAATGCTCAAGCAGGTGAACCAGGTAGGATTAAAAACCTTACCAGAGGAGAAGGCACACAAAGTGTCATAATTGAAAGGGAACAAAATGAGGCTCTTTCAAAAGCAGATTATATAATGGCCCTCAAATAGTTACAGAATGTTTTCCTGTTGTTGTTCCTTTGCTTGAAGTAAAAACAGTTCCTGTGGACAAAGCCCCTTAAGACCATCTTAGCCCAGTGGTGACAAGAGGGAGGGCAAGGAGCACTTGGAGTGCCCAGATTGCATATGGAGACCCTTCCACCTGTGCTTCTTTATGTATACACTCCAGCTCTTCTAGAACACATTTGAATATGAATCCCTCCATTTTTCCTGCTGTGAACCCTTTTAAGGGAGTCAGCATATAAAAGGGCTGAGAATAACCATTTCTTTCTATAGAAGGCAAACTCAGTTTCCTGGGCCTAGGACAAATGTCTTGTAATTTGGTTGGAGTTGTTTTGTCAGGATTCAGCTGAGGGTTGCCTTTCTGTTCATGTGGAGTGATTCATGGGAATGAGGGTATTTTCTTTTGATTATTTTTAGTTTGGTTGCGTGGTCTGTTTGTTATTTATTTCATTCATTTATATACTGCCCCATTAGTGCAATGCACTATTCTGGAGCCTTTTGGCACAGTGGTTAAACTGCTGTACTGCAGCCAAAACTCTGCTCACGACCTGGAGTTCAATCCCAGGTAGCCGACTCAAGGTGGACTCAGCCTTCTATCCTTCCGAGGGGGGTGGGGAAAAATGTGTAGCCCGTATAATTAATTTGTAAACCGCCCAGAGAGTGCTTTAAGTGCTATGGGGTGGTAGAGAAGCAGCATGCTTTGCTTTTGCTTTGGGGGGTTAACAACATAATGATTTTTTTTAATGAAAAAAGTTACATATTAACCAAAGAGTAAACAAAACTAACAAAATTAAAATGAACCAGAAATAGTGCATTGTATACCTGCTAGGTTGGCAGGAGCTGGGACAAGGCGGTTGTGTGGATTCGAACCACTGACCTTTTGATGGACAGCTCAGTGGCTCAGCATTTTAACTTGCAGCAGCACCCGTGTCCTTAAAATAAAATAAACAAATAAATGTCACCCTAGTTTTACTAATTCAGTACAGTATTTTTTTTATATTGGCTTTGGTTTTCAAAATGTCAGTACTGCCTATCCAGCATAGTCCTCTGAGCTTGCCTACACTGTGATGCTGAAATGGCAATATAGACATTATTTTCAGGGAAGAGCTCCTGACTGCTCATTTTGATCTTTCTCCAATAGGTTCGAGACGGGCGGAAGAATGTTGTCCCTCATGTCCTGTCTGTGAGTGGCAATCTGGACAACGGAGTGCTAGCATATCTTTTTGATGGCATGCAGTTGGCTGAAAATGCTTTAACCAGAAAGAAGGTCATGCAGAGAAAAGTGAGTTTCTTCTTAATTTATTGCATTATGAATCCCACAAAGAGGCTGAAAAATTCATGTACTCGGCAGGTGATAACACAGAGGGCTGCAAGCCTATATGAAGCTGAAAATTCCATTGCGATTCAGAAATGCATGAGTCATGTGCTGAATTGTTAAGAGGGCATTGAATACTCTGTAAAATGGTGTACAGTGGTGCCTCGCTTAACGGGCGCCCCGTTTAACGATGAAATCGCATACCAATGAACTTTTTGTGATCGCTTTTGCGATCGCATTGCGATGTTTTAAATGGGGAAAAATTGTTTTGCTATGATCGGTACCCTGTTTCGCTTACCGATCATCGCAAAGCGATGATTTTTTAACAGCTGATCAGTTGTTCCAAAATGGCCATTGGGTAAAAAAAATGGCCGCCCGCTGTTTTCTGGGACAGATTCCTCGCTTACCAGGCAGCGAAAATGGCCACCGTATGGAGGATTTTCGCTTAAAGGTGAGTCTGAAGCCCATAGGAACGCATTGAAGGGGTTTCAATGCATTCCTATGGGCTTTTTGATATCGCATAGCAACGAAATCGCTTTGCAGCGATTTTTGCTGCACCGATTATCGTCGCTAAGCACGGCACCACTATATTCTGTCCAAGATAGTTTTGACACCATTGTATATTCTCTTCTGTCCAAGATAGTTTTGACACCATTGTCTTGTCTTGCATATCTGTCACTTCAGAAATAGGTTTTGGATTTTCAGACTTCATGGACTACAGACCCCAGAAGTCAGCAGGAATTTACCCAGCCAGATTTCAGTTCTTAAGCCCTGCCTACTCATTATTGAGAAGATAACGGTCTTGCGTGTAACCTAACACCAGGTTTTAGTGAGAGGAGGGAGCTTTCACAAAGTAAAGTGACTGTCTAACCTATTATCAAAGTCGTTTATACTGGACTTAAGGCATGCCTGTGCCCCCTCCTCCTGTTTATTTGCTTCTGGTTGTTTTATTTGCTCTCTTTCTGTCTGTCTCTCCTCCCCCCTGTACATTCTGTAACTTTAGAGCAGAGTACACTTGTAATTCTCTGCTTCTGACAGCATGGTGGATTTCAGTCTCCCAGCATGGTTGAGACTGTAATTTCTTTTCCTTTCTGTGCTTCTGATTGTAACTGAAGTTCCACAACGGTAAGTGAAGAGGCTTTTCTTTTCTACTTAAGCTACTTGCAGATTTCATTTTTATGTACAAAGCGTTATTTATTATGAGAAAAAATTGTTGGGTGAAATCTGGGAATTCTAGCTATTCTCCTTCACATTTCCCCTGTGCTGCAGCTGTCTGTCTGCTAACTAAAAGGAAATTAACCAAAAATTCTTCCCAGTACCCCATTTCCTCTGACTTCTCCACAGGATGAAAATGGCTGCTAGAGCTTGAATTCATTATCATTTCAAGAACTTGAAAACACCTGTCAGGACTTTCATTTCTTGTATAAAGTCTCCAGAAATCTGGTTGGGGAAGTTCTTGCAAACTTCCAGGAGCTGTAGTCCATGAATTCCATGCCTACTCAGAAATATAAATTGCTTTGCCTGTTGTCAGTAGATTAGGCCCCATGGATAGCAGGATTCTCATCCATGGTAGGTTTCTGATGCCTTACATTCTTCCCTCCAAATTTGTCCCAGATGGTTAGGGGACCCTGAAACAATGGGCGAGGAGACAAAGTGGGAGAGTGCAATTGGCAAAGATCGTAATCCCACCATTTTCCAATTTGCAGGACTTTTCCCAGCAGAGAAGCAGTCAGCAAATGCTGCTGACAGAAAAGAAGTTGGATCCAAACCAGTGCTTTACAATGTTACTGGAGGTTTTTGCAAATGCTTTTTAAAAATATTGTGTGTTTATGTTGAATTCCAGGTTCTTAAGCTTCACCCATCTTTGACCCCAGTCAAAGTAGCTTTGGATGTGTCAAGAGGCCCAACCACAGAGTTGAGGCAGGTGAGCTATGGACCTGAGAGTTTTTATTCCTACTCTTTCTGCAGCTGTTTGAATGGAATTCATCACACCTTCCGTTCGTTTGGATCAAATGGTATATCTAATCTTTTTGTCCTAACCATGATAAAACACAAAAGCTGTAGTCATGTTGCAAGTGTTCATTTGATGCTAATAAGGTATAATCTAGTTTTAAACATTACCTGTACTCTGATCTAAGGAAGTGACTTGAATGCAAACAAAGGGTTCCTCTATAGTTTGGAGTAATAAAAATCTTGCATGCAGCGTAGCACTGGCTATAAGAGTGAAGGAGGCTTTTAGAACCTAAAGGAATTCTCTCCTTTTCCCACTAATCAATTAGCAAAGTCCTTTTTACTGGATTTGAGGCAAGCCCCTGCCCCTTCCTTTCTGTTTGCTTCCAGTTATTTGCTTGTCCTCTTTCTTCTTCCTTGACCATCTCCAAGAGTAGACATGCTTTTCTGCTCCTGACCTGAGGACCTTGCAGTCACCAGGATCTCTCCCTCTTTTAAATGGCTGAGAGATCCAATCCCTTTTTATCCTTTCTTACTCTGATTGTAACTGAAGATCAGCTATAAGTAAATACGGTTGTTGTGGGTTTTTCGGGCTCTTTGGACGTGTTCTGAAGGTTGTTCTTCCTAACATTTCGCCAGTCTCTGTGGCTGGCATCTTCAGAGGACAGAGGACAACACGTTAGGAAGAACAACCTTCAGAACACGGCCAAAGAGCCCGAAAAACCCACAACAACCATTAGATCCCGGCCATGAAAGCCTTCA